GGCTCTGCCACGGCAGGAGGGGGGGATGCTGCCAGCAGACCCGGTGCTCGGGTCCGTTGGAAGCAGCTGATGCTCCTCGCTTGTTGACCTCCGTCACCTGCGTGGCCCTTTGAAGTTAAGGTCGTTTGCAGTGATGCTCCTCGCTTGTTGACTTCAGTCACCTGCGTGGCTCTTGGAAGTTAAGGTCGTTTGAAGTTTCCCATACTTTTTTTTTTTGAAGTGTTGGCGTCTGTATTTTTTTTTTTTTTAAAGAACTTAACTTGGTGATTGAATTGGAAGCCTGTGAGACATCTGAATGTCAGTATGAAGACAACTCTCTGTCTACGTCAAAGATGAGACGGCACCTTACGTTACACGCCATGAAAGGGTCCCAGACAGCAGCGTGCACCTTTAGCCCGAGGAGATGCCACACAAACCTATCTGTCTGCTTTGTGCATTTGCAGTTAGGTCTTCGTTGGCGGGGTTTCTCTTCTGAGGCGTTTTTTTTTATCGTCACTGCATACAGGGTATCATATTTGATATTGCAAACTCGAAATTGTTCACCATAAGTTTATGGTGGTTTTGATGCAAAGGTGCAATAGCAGAAGGCTTTAAAGAAAAAAGTTTTTCCCCCGTAACCTTTTCAGTTGCTGGTTTTTATTTCAGTGCTGGTTGAATTACTTGTGTAATTTGCTCACCTGCAGGAAACATGAGGTCGCAGTATGTCACGGCGCCCACAGTCACTCTCCTTCTGTTCCTGCTGTGGATCCAGTCGTCAGCGGGCTGCAATAAGGCTCTCTGTGCTAGCGATGTCAGTAAATGCCTCATACAGGTACGCGTCGTGTTTCCTTTATTTGCCATTAAGCTTTTAAGAACCAGTTCTGAAGCTGTGTCTTGAAAAGATCCAGTCATACAAATAACCAGTATTTTATATTAAATAATGGGGTTTTTTTTAAAGAAGTTAATTTGGTCTCCTGCACATATAAATGCAGATGAACAACCATTTCATAGATAATATTAAGTGCTTGTGTGTAGGGGCGTGTTTCTTTTTTTAATGGAAACGTTTTGAAATTGACGATTATGATTGCTGGGTTATAGTTAGAAGCCGCCACCAGTCACGCTGTTAGTTTTCAACCTCCTTCTTTATTAGTGATACTATGAACCAGCAGCAATTTAAAACAGACATTTTATTAGAAAGACTTCCGTGGGCAGCAGTTGGGTTTTTTTAAAGATGTCCTCAATACTAGAAGTTCAAATGTGCTGACAATGTTCCCATATCTGAGGTGTTCCCCTTACCTGTTCCCCTTAACTTGCAAATCTGCCCACTTTCTCAACTCTCCCGGCCCAGGCAGAGGGTCAGTAGCAGATGCCTGGTGCTCTCTGTAACATCAGGTTTGTACCTGGTGGGAAGATGCCTGAAAACTCGGGTGAGAGAGCTAACACGAGTAGGGACCGAACTTGTCGTAAGAGTCCTGAGGTGCATTTGGAAAAGCTTTTTGATCAGGAGAGACCTATGGCTGCTAATGGTAGTGAGCAAGCTCTGAATGTGTGTGGAGCTACCTACAAAAAAAAACCCCAGAAGAGGAACTATCCAAACCAAATACTTAGGAGTTGAACTGGTGGGAAATGGATGTTAAATTCAAATCCAGATGCTGCTTTTGACTGTGTGTGTGTCTGCAGTGAAAGAAGCAGACTGAGACCAGGTTGCTCTTCTTGGAGCAGGAGTTAAGAGGTACAGTGTGCAGCAGAACAAAAGTACCATTTCTAGCAAAATTACAAGCAGTTCTGGTAACTACCAAGTATTTATTTACTAATGGTGTATTGAGCAGGCTTCTTGACTCCATGCTGAAAAAAGGAGCTTTCATGTGGGCAGTTGCAGCTTCTTTAAAATAAACTGGTTCTTACTGCCTGTTTGTAATTGGAAATGCAATAGCAGAGAGTATCACATGCTGGTAGTGTGCTAGTACGCTTGCTGTAAATGTATGGTCACAGTCTGAAAAGTGATGCAGAAGTGGCACGAAGCATTTCCATGTTTACTTCAGTTCATTGACTTCCGTATAAAACTTGCCTGGATTACACATAAAAATGCTTGCTGGATTCACAGATCCATCCTGTGGAATGAAGACTGACTGTAGGCTGAACCGTCTTCTTTCTGGTTTCTGCACTGCCATTGCTTAAAGAAAAAAAAATAAGGAAATTGCTGCTTCTCCTGGCCCCACCATGGTCTGTGGAGTCGTTACATACAGCAGCAAGAAAGAGGCTTTTGACGTTTACCTTTTGAAAGGTGATGGCAGTGGTTTTGCTGGTGCATTGGGCATTGTGCACTGTGACAAACTGATGCACGTACAAGTTCCTTCTGTTGCACTTTTTCAGCCCACCTCTTAAGTGAGATGCTAGTTGGGGCATTGGACGTGTGAGGCGCTTAAATAACAGGTGCAGTGGTACAGATTTGTGGATTTAGGGGAGAGCTGTTGGGCCATATGAAGGGGAGAACAGGGAAAAGCTGTTGTCACCTGTTGTCAAGCTTGAGACGCTCAGCGTTTAATCTTTATTTGTGTGAGCTAGTCTGAATCGCGTACAGCCCGGGAGGAGAGGAGCTGATGCTGCCGGAGCCCTTCCTTGGCTGGGAGCAAGACGGCTGAGGTTTCGGCGCTGCGTGGACGTGGCTGACGTGACTGTTACTTGGATGATGTTGGCATCTCTGTGGCGACACAGCCCTGTGTGTGCAGAGAGAACCCTGCACTGCTTTTCTTGTTGTCGGTGTGTTCTCCCTTGCTCTGTACAAGTGATGTGGAATCCCTTTTTAAAGCATTTCCCAAAAATGGACATCGCGTGCAGTTCTCCGAGACCCTGGAGTAGCGCGGGCCGTGTGAGTTGTGTACAGTTACCGGGGAATGCCGCTGTTCCTTTGCACCGTCTGGCTGCTCTCCTCCTGCAAACAGGCCTGACATACCAGTCAGTATTCATTCTTTACAGAAGAACAGATCAGGTCAGACTAGTCTGATTGTGGATATGAAGACTCCTAAAGCTTTGACTTAAAGCAGTTGTCATCTTGCTTCTTGGCTTTCTTTAAATCCTCAGTGCTGTTGTGGCAGAAGCGCTGTACTGCTACGTGAAGTGTGTGTTGTTTCTTAGGTAGGTATAAAAGTAGAGCATATCCATGCAATTTTTGTGCCCTCAAAACTCTTCCTTCTGGAGAAATCCGAACTTAAAAATAGAATACTTTGTTGAGTGAATTTGCTTGACTATTGCATGACACTTTTCCCTAACCTATTTTTATAACTGTGCTAGTTTGGCAAAATCTCTGGCTTGAAACCAAGATAATGTCACTCGAAGACAACTCGGGGAGCAAACAGAATGTGAATGTTTGCCATCTGTGTGCAGAAAGTGAGGCTGCCTGCCTTAGAGGCGTAATGAGACAAAAGACCCGCTCTCTCAAAAAGCATGTGGTTAGCGCACGTATTTTTGCCAGCATGACTAGAAGTCAGTACAGTCATTACTGCCCCTCCTTAGGAGCTGTTTTGCTTAAGGGTGGTCCCTACATAAATATTTATTTTCTTAGATCCAGAACAGAGCATGAGATCAACAACTCGCATGCGTTCAGCTTTCCTTTTACATCTTGAGGCTCTAGCTTCACTGGTGCTCTCGTCATCTACTGCTCGTATTTTCTGTAAGCAAAGACCTGGAGGAAAACAGCTTGAGCCATCTCTCTGCATAAGCTTAGCCTTTGCAAAAAAAACTTTGTGGCTTCCTGTAGTTGTTGAAGGAGTTGTGGACAAGACTTGGGTGTGTAGGCAGAGTGGGACCACAATGTTAGTTCCCTTGAAGGCTTTGGAAGTAGCTCCTTCCCGCATCTCTGGGACTGGGGCGTTGAAGTCAGTAACTGACTGTTACCTTGCTTTTCAGGTGGGCCAGCGAGCCCTGGTTGCACACTCCGTGCCTATTGCAGTGTTTATTCTGGCACATCTGTTGTTGACTTGGCGACATGGGTTGTTGCGGTGTTTCCATGTGTGGGAGAGATGAGAAGGCCGGTTACGCTCGCAGGGCGGAGTGGGAGCGTACTGTGTCCTTGCAACATGGAGGAAATCCTTGAAGGCAGAAACCTCTCGGGTGGAATGTTCCCACAACTGTCCGTAGCAAACGGGTTTGCGGCGAGTCCCAGGCCGGATCTTGCGGTGCGGAGCTGCCTGCAGCAGTCAGGCTCGGGGGATACGGTGTGTTGTGCTGGAAGCCAAGCTTTGCCGTCTCATCTGCAAACAGCTCTAAACTACTGTATGTAGGAAACAAACAGTGCTGTAGTTCAGGTGTGGATTTCAGGTCTTTCTAAAGAGGGGCGGTTTTCCAGAGAACGTAGAGTTTTCTCTCCAGAACACTACATGCCTGCAGTCACCTTGGCTGGTGCGGTATCGTTCCGATTAAAATCTCGCTTCATCTTTGTCTTCACCTCCTGTTAATCTTGTGTACAAACTTGTCAGCTTGAAAGGATTTCCAAGACTTTTTAGCCCTGTGGTATGAAACAAACACCACTCCTTCACTTCAGGGCTTAGGCATCTAAAAGTTACTTTTAGTGTGTATGTTGTAGCTGTGGTATGTAACGCAGCTGGGTGAACAAAACAGTTCTGGCTGGTTTGCTTCCAGGAGATTTTCTGTTATTAAACTGTTCTGGGAAAAAACATGAGCTTTTTTCTTTCACTCCCCCTTCCAGTTTGCAAAGATGTTGCCAGTGCCTTCAGGTCCTATTTCTCACTGCACTGAGAAAATAGTCTCTGTCATTTCAAGAAAGCTTTGAAAAAATGGAGATGTTAAGTACCTTGTAAAAATCTTGATTTGCTCTCTGGAGCAGAAGTATCTTTATTGTATGAACATGCCTCCTTCCTACTTAATGCTGTATTTTTAGACCAAGAGGCTTATTTCTTGCCTAGCAAAATACATTCTCCGATGCACCTTCAGTAGTTCAGCTTGGGAATTTGCCAAGTTGACTTATGAGTAATATTTTCTTCCACTGATGCCTCACCACCCCCAGCTATCAACAAGGAACGTTTCTCATTCTGCCTCACTTCACCCACGTCTCATGTAAGCATTCTTTTAAAAAGATGTATCCAGTACAAGTATCCAGTGCGGGTGAGTCAGGCAGAAGGACTCAAGAGTGGTTAGGGAAACCACGTACATGCAAACACATATATGGAAAAACATACAGTTATTGCCCTGAAGAGACAGTCGAACTGTGAGGAGGAGGGAGCTGGAGAACTGTGCAGAAGACTAATTAGGTTGCTCTTTCTTCCCTCCTCCCCCTCCAAGTTAAAAAAAAAAAGTAAAAAAAAGAAAAATAAAAAAAAGAAAATTAGAATTTACAGTGCTTATAAGCCCTTCCTATAAAAATAAAGTTGTTAAAATACTGGTAGGTATAGCGATGATATCCCAAGCTAGTGCTTATACATATCGAAGCTAAGCAGAATTTTTTTTATTGTGTTGCAAATGTGTAATTTAAGGTTACATTTAATTCAGTGAGAGTGCTGTTCTCTTAGACTCACAAAGTGCGATCTATAAAACTGAAACAAATTGGTGAATTTGCTGGCTTCGATTCATGCATTACATTTAATAGTTTATGGAGAATCACCTCTTCCCACATACTGGCTTGTTGTTGTTGCAATGTCTTTAAGAAGTATGAAGTTGTTTGCCCAGTTTTACTGTTGAAGAATCAAATATGTAGGATATTTTTAATGCTAATATGTATTAATACTATTCTTTGGCCGAGTTAACAGTACTTTACTTGTGGTTGTTTCTAAAGTAGTTTTATCCAGGCTTTTTGTTCTCAGGGCTGACACAATCTGTTTATCAAATGGTAAGATAAATATTTTAGAAATGCATCACTCATTCACATAAGTCATCTTTCTAAGTTTGTGGTGTCTCGTCTTGTGGAAAAAATTGTATACTTTATTAATGAGCCTGTTTTTCGTCTTTCACTTGGAAACAGCATAGTAATAGGTGACATTAATAAACTTTGAGGATAAAGAAGTAAAAAATCTTGGTAGTTTTCCACTCTGTAAAGAAAAATTAAAGGCTTACTAGGGCTGCGTATTGTAAAAATGCATGTGGAGCAGGAGTTCACGCTCGATCACTCAGCAGGGCAAACAGTTCAAGCTAAGCTGCAGGCAACAGCGTTGTCTCAGCATTGCGTACAATATGCAGCAGTTTGTCAATTCTGTTGATCTGCTGGCTTCAAGGAGATTTGTGATCTGGGATGAAACGAATGGAAAACACCAGATCAGTGTATTTATACTGCATTAATACATTGTAGCACATGTGCAGTGGGTTTGGGGGTTGGTTCCATTTTTGTCCAGAACTGGGAGCCCTGCAGCTTCGTTTGCTGTGTTCTTAAGCCCTGTCCCCAGCGGGAGCTGGCTCTGGCCTCTCGCTCCAAAATGCCCTTGGCCGTGTCCCGTGGGCCTGCGTGAGTTGGTGCAAGAGAGGGGCGGTCCCTGTGCAGCTCCACAGCCTGTGGACGTCTGCGGTTGCCGGCGTTGCAGAAGAAAGAGGGAATGGGGGTGGCACGCCATCCGGCCCATCTCTGTGCCTTGCCTTGCCTAGCAAATGTGGTCCTGATGTTTGGTGTAAAAATGCCTGCTTCCTCCCCTGCCTGATGCTCCTTAACAATAGCAAGCAAAGGGTTATTTAGAAAGTGGAATTTTGCCCCCTCATCTTCTTCCCAAAGCGCTACAGAAAGCCTGTGTGGGTGACGTTTGTGCCTGCCTGCAAGGAGCGGTGTCCCTGACCCACCCGTGGCTGGCTGAGGTGGAGCCTCGGGTGATGACTCCGGGTTAGGGGATTTCCATGCCAAACCACCTTCCTGCCCTTCCCTCCTGTCCGCATGCGTCTCCCGACCATGCCGCGCAGCAGAGATTTGCCGATGGCGCTTCCAGTAAAGCTGAAGGTGGGAAGGATCCCGTGGTCAGTGTTTCCAGTAACGGGATTTTGTTTTCTCACCAGTTGTGAGCTAGACAGACATCATCAAAACCAAATTCTTAGACAGGACGACCAAATGTGACTGCTTGACTGTCCACGTTTTGCACTGCGGCACGATTGAAGCCCGTATGTTACCGTCATGTAGCCACAGTCCTTTGGCTGAACTGGAGTTACTGGTATGGATTTGAGCTAGAGGGAAGGAGAATGCCTGGGTTTTAGATTTCCGTGTAGGCTATTTCCATGCTTGAGGTCCACAAGTCTGTCTTCAGCGGAACTGCTAAACCAGTGCCTTCAGGTTTAGGTAATTTGAAGAGAAAGGTTTGACTTCTTGCTTCCACGCCTTTTCCGTTTTTCTAGCTTAATAACAGTTAAAGAAAAATGTGTATGCATGCCATTCCGCTTTTAGAGGATCCAGAAGTCTTGGAAGTATCCCAAGGTGTTGATTTGGGGGGAGAGGAGCGAGAGGGTTGTTTTCATAATAGCAAGAATGAACCAGCTGGACCCGGGGAAAAGAAATAATCTGATCACTAATACTGCAAATGGAGAGTAATGTGTAACAAGCACTCAGGGACACACAACATCCTGTGGTCAGATGACTTAACCAAGAGAATCCGTGAATAGGTGTGATGGTAGGTGTTGGGTATCTTCTTGGGTATGCACATGCTGCTTATAGTAACTTCCTTTTTTAGCCAAATTATAACGTATGCATGCTATTTATATATAAAGAAACATCCTTCTTTGAATTTCCTGTTGTGGTGGGGGAAAACATTAAAAGAACTTGTAGATTCAGGCATACATAGAAGTGCACTCGCCTTTTCCATGGATAGGATTCTCTTTTCTTACAAATGCTGCTTAGCTGACTTCAGATTTGTCTTCAGAATTTCACCTTTGAAAAAAAAAAAATACTTGCAAAAGATCCTTTTGTAAACTAAGGTCGTTTCTTTGGCTGGAACTATTTTACCGTTTACTCACTGTATTAGTGTACTAAGCTTTTTTAATGCCGTAATTGGAGTTGCGGCTTGAGGAAGAATTGCTCTGCCGTGTTAGCGTTCTACAGCTGGGATTGCTGTGGTATAATGAGTTTCTGTTGTTTTCAGGAGCTGTGTCAGTGCCGCCCTGGGGAGGGGAACTGTTCCTGCTGCAAGGAGTGCATGCTCTGCCTGGGCACACTTTGGGATGAGTGCTGTGACTGCGTTGGTAAGCTTGCATTTCTTTTGGATTTTCTTCTTTTTTTTAAATTGCTTCCTCCTGGCGCATGCTGAGCTCACAGTCTTGTAATAGAAGTAAAACATCAGGACGGAATCTGTGCTGTAAACATCTTCCAGCTCATTCTGTGGGTACTGAATAAATTACTGTGGGGAACCAAACATTTGAAGGCCGTATCTGCTCTGTGGAGCGAGGGTTGGAGGATTTTGCTTGGTTGGTGTCATCACAGCCAACTGTTAATTTTGTCTCTAAAACATAAACTCCATTTTTAATTGTCAGCTTGAGGAAGCTATGCAGTACCTGCTTCGTGAGGTTGGATGCTGTATGGAGGTTTCTAACTGTAAAGCGGATTGACAGATACCACGCAGGAACAATTTTAGGTATCAGTTCCCTTGTGAATCCTTGGGACTAGTAGTGAATATGCATGGCCCAATGTTTTCGTTGTTCTTTTGTTTGCAAAAGGAGCTCTTTGTGGAGTGGAAGAAAAAGGCATACAAGTCCTAACTGTAGGATTAGATGATAGTCCTGACAGGAACAGCATTACTATTAACAGGAAGTGCCTCGATCTCTACAAGTGAATGCTGCCCCTGCTTAAGGAGGATGTATTCTAGTTCTGTCTTCTGTTTCAAATGTATTGAAAGCTGCATCCTCCTGTGGTTGCTGGAAGTCTCCCTGTGCTGCTACTCAAAATACTTCTGGCTTCCATGAAAGGGAAGCGCCTGGAGTGTTGTATCTGCTCTCAGTATCTCCGGCTGGCCTGGGACTTCCCTGAATTCATGAAGGCAATTAGTGTCAAAATGCTCCTTCTGAGTGCAGTCCGTTGCTTCTCCTGTTCCATCATGACGTGAACGTGCTTTCTGACATCCTGCTTTCTGCTTGGTTCTGGCTAGCTTACCTTTGCTGTACTCTTTCAGTAAGCAGTGGAGTGGCGTGGTCCTGCACATGTGATTCTTCCTAACAGCATGAAGTGTTTTCAGCCCCTGCACCTGTGGAGGATGTACATGTAGAAAGAGGCCCTAGAGTTTGTTTTTTCTATTTGGTCTTGGTCTCCTTTAAAAGTGAAATATATGTCTCTCTGTCTCTCGTTCTCTTTGTTTCCCCATCCCCTTTGCCCTTCCAATGTTTTCTTGGTTTTTGGGACGTAATACTGTAAGTGCACTGTTGTCATATTCAGTCACAGGGGTGAGGAATAGGATAGTAGGGTATTTCCCTAGTTCAGAACCATTATCTGCTGTAGAAAGCAAGGCATAGCATGCTGATCTCCTCTAGGGAGAGGAAGAACCTACCTCTTGGGATTGTGAGGGAAAAAAAGCGAAGTCCACACACAGGGTTTTTTTCCTAAATCTGCAAATTACTCACTGTTCTGCTGCTCTTTCCCATGGTGTTATGCAGGAGAGAAATTAACGAGGTTTTAGGTTCAGTTTCCCAGTACTGAGGAAACTTGAAACATCTGGTGGTTCTGTGGGTGCCTCAGACCTTGTTAGTTTTGTGGTATGGTCCTATTCTTCATCTCTGCAGTGTAAGGTCATCCTTGCTGTAGCCTTATTTCATTGAGGAAACAGGAGTGCATGCCCTGCCCAGCTTCCTGGAGACGGTTCTTTGCTGACACTTCGGCTGATATTTAAGTCTTTATAAGCTGATCACATCTGATGTAAAAGCAGATACGTTGTCATGTCTTTCGGGTCATTTCTGCTCTGAGGTCAGGAATTACCTCCTACCTTCTAGCATTAATTTTACTTCTGGTCAGTTGTTGTCCTGTGTTTTCTGTGGATCCTGTCTCTCTTCTCAGGCAGGCAGAAAGACGCTAGAGGAGGGAGAACAACAGGTTTCTCTTTCCTCTGTTTTTCTGAGATTTGTGAGTTAAGGTGGTCTGGTCCCTGATGTAAAGGCTTGTCTGCTTCCATTGTTTCAATAGCCCACTCCTACATCTTCTCATCCAAGAAAGGTGGATTGGGACTGTGTACACCTCTGGGGGTGGGCTAGAATCTCCATGTGAGAACTCTGATGCTGGAGGGGTACTTGGATTTTCAGTAGCAATATGTAGTAAGAGGCGGGTAAAAAGAGGAGGCAAAAGAAGGAAAAATACTTAAATCGAAAGGATTATTGTGTGGCTTGTTACAGTTGAATACATTTGCATTTCTTTCAGTTGCAGGAATGATAGCTCTAGCATAATGGCGTAGTTATGCTTTAAATTTTGGTAATCAAATTTTCTCTTAAATCATTGGCTTCCAAAGCAGTAACGTAGGCATGATTGTTCCTTACCAGTTGATCTTAAGTTAAGCTTTTTTATTTTTGCTTTAACCAAAGCTACCATATTATAATAACTATTATAAAATTATGACAGAATCACAGAATGTTCGGGGTTGGAAGGGACCTCTGTGGGTCATCTAGTCCACCCCCCCTGCCAAAGCAGGGTCACCTAGAACAGGCTGCACAGGACCTTGTCCAGGCGGGTCTTGAATATCTCCAGAGAAG